TATGTTGCAGAGGTAATTTAACACGCGATGGCCATTTGTGAAATTGCTACTGAAAATAACACTGACACTTCTTCAAGACTTGTCTCTATTGAATTACCTCGCACGTTAAATGTTTCGAAGTATGAACTATCAAAAAATGTTGTCTTGTCCGTTTTTAATTTGGCTCCCGAACACAAAGTGTTTACCTCCATGAGTAGTACGCCAACATCCCGAGACGACGAGACGAGATTACATTCATGCGAGAGTCATGATCTGCGCATCAAGTTTGCGCATACAAAAATACATTAGCAAAGTTGGATGAACTGAGACAGAATCTACCTTAAAATCATTACTATTTACTATCGCTGTGGGTGTGTTCAAGTAGAAACCGTTCACTCGCAGTCGTCGAGACTCCTAACTAATATTAACGATGCCAGGTCTCGAAAAATTGCCACTAGAGGAGGCTGCAGAGGACTCCCCACAGGTGGGTTGGGCATGCAAGTTTACGGCCTGTACAAGTTTATGATCGACAATCCTCACAGTGTTCAATAGTTTTACAACAGTTCTTATGCCGTGACGCAAATATTTAATGCTTTTTAGGCAGCTTCGTAGACAAGATTACATAGATTGCATAGTCTTTACTACTACTCCCAGAATGCCACAGCCTTTGAAGTGTTTCCACATCAAGTTGCCAAGGTAGGAGTATTGCGTGACGATAGATAGATAGTTACCTCTTTTATTGAATAAACAACGTCATATGTACCCGGATCCCTTACCCCCACTCACCCGTCAGACTTTAATAATTCAGGGAACACAATTAACAGACAATTATCTCCATCATATTCCTGCTGTCTGGTCCCCAATCACGCCGGTGTCGTAACAATAAATTATTGCATTGTAGTGCTTACTTATTTATTTTATTTAAAATCATTTAAAAGAATTGAATTAAAATGGTTACATGAAGACTAAATACCAGACAAAACACAAACACATAAAAGAAAACGACTGTTTACAATTACGAGTGTGGAGACATCGTATGGTTTGATTCACATATGATTAATACTCCCATTGAAATACCTATAATTCATGCAAATGTTGATATATAGCAATTTTCAGCTAATTTAACAATATTTTTGTGTGAAAAAAATTAGGGATCAATTTAGTATTTTCAAAAATTCTGCACAGAGCAGGGTCAAAGAGCAAGGAATCACAGTCACTTGGGGGCTGAAAAATCAATATATACTAATTTAAAAAAAAAAAATCATCCGCTATACGTATATAAATAAACAAGTTGTGAAACATGGCACCTAGTAAATCGTCACCTTGTCGGTTTCAAATTTTGATTACTTACCTTAAAATTCGAAACAAAAATTTTAGAAGGGATCAGGTGTTACGTTAATAACCATTGTTCATAATCGCTAACTTGGTTTTATTCAAAACTGCACAAATCCCGCGTTTTCTGATGATATCCGACGATTTCATGAACGAAAATGGCCAGCAGTCAGAATCAAGGGGGATTCGCACAGAGCTCTGTGTAAATCAGGGAAATGCTAGCTATTATGGCACGCCTGATTGGCTGAAAATGAGTATGCGCACTTGATTCTTTGGGATTGTTCCTCTATAACATGGTTGCCAAAAAAGGGTAATTGTGCTTACAACAACCTGGTGCTTCAAAAAATTTGCCTTCGGATTTGGATCATTAAACTTACAGCACTTGGCAAGGTGGGGGGCATGGAATAAATATTGGTTGCATGTTTAAGCTGAAAATGTCTCCACCCTAGGACAAATTAGTGATACCTCAATACCCACTCCTTCATGTCCCATTTGAGATAACTTGGCAATTTTACAGTTCAGAATTGTAACATAATTGTATAGTGTCTACACTGAACAGTACTATACATGTAGCTGTAAGTTTGTTCAAAGCAGTTTCTTCTAGAGTGTTAACCTGACTCTCCTAAGCTAAAAAAACTAAAACTACATGTCCTGCTACCGTATGTCAGTTGTGGATGTACAAGACAGCATTAGTTTCATGTATTTTAAAACAAATTTACATCACAGAGTTTTTTAACCACTTATAGATTTTCATTTAGAAAATAAAGGCATTGAAAAGCATTGATTAGTTGCAATTACATGTAGAACATACAAAAGTAAAGAGCACATTTTTATTTTGCAGCTGAAAAAATCATGCTTGTTGTTTAGACAATCTATCCAAATATGTAAAAAGTTTCAAATATTTTGAGGTTGACATGCAATCTTGTTCATCTGTTGTTGTTCGGTCTGGTGACTGTCCGGTCATCTTGATAACCAGGCTCCCCTGGTGACTGTCCGGTCATCTTAATAACCAGGCTCCCCTGGTGACTGTCCGGTCATCTTGATAATCAGGCTCCCCTGGTGACTGTCCGGTCATCTTGATAACCATGCTCCCCTGGTGACTGTCCGGTCATCTTGATAACCAGGCTCCCCTGGTGACTGTCCGTTCATCTTGATAACCAGGTTCCCTGTTGTGTTGATCAGCCAATGAGAGCTCTCCATTTCAGTAATTGGCAGTTTGTGGTAAAATATTTATCTGACACAAAAAATAATAATTTACGGTTTCTGCATTCACTTGAACACTCGCACTTTTCCTTATTTGGAATAAACTATGTCAATGACATTCGCATTGACATGCTTAAGGTTATTGATGACATTCATCAAACACAGAAATGTTATCTTTTATTAAATTATTAAAGTTATCACAATATCCCCTTTTTAGCCATATATGCGTCTGGTACATACCGGGATATAATAAGTTACTGGATATTGACAAATTTTGTAACAGTCAGTGGGGCCCCCACCCCCATGCACCATGATGTGTAGTTAGATAGTGGATTTAGTGGTGAATGTCTGCATTTTTTCATGTACATGTTTACTTTGATTTACATGGTATTTATTTATTTGTTGTGTATTCTGTGTTATTTACCTCCTAGATTTGATACTTGGTATATATTTACCTTGGGTAGACATCTCTCAGATTTGTTCATTTCGTGAAGATACCTTCACTAATTTTAGTGAATATTGGTAAAAATGGCCAATTCCAATGACTTCTTGAAAATGGCTAGCCCAGTTGCTTCAATATTGGATGGACTTCAGTCAGATTTGTTAGAACACCTTCAATTCTCTAATTCTAGTGAATATTTCAACTTCTTCTTTAAATTGGCACCTTCAATTCTCTAATTCTATATTTTATATGTAGATACCTTTGATGGACAGTTGCATTCATTTCATAATAAGTTTATTTTCTAATATTAGTGAATATGCTTATTTTCAACTGTTCAACTATATAGCGAAGCTATATCAGCCAACAGGCTGTTTGTTTTACTCTTCAGGTTAGCAGCTACTTTGAGTTTTCTATTGGATTATCTGGTTGATTTAAAGTAACTTGATCAGAGTAAGAAGTGAATCATTCTACAAATACACTCAGTAATGTCATACCATTTCTCTTACAGACACGCACATTATTAGGTATCTTTTATCAAGATGCTGTTGGCTTTAAAAGCTATGTTAATTCATTATTGGATTCTTGCAAGACCATTAATAGACTTCAGGTATGTATAATTTGAATATATTTGTAGTAGTGGAAACTGGTAACTGACTGTGTTGTATCTCTGCTGTACTGGGAAAGGTGGAGCACTGTGAGATGACAAGATTTTCAGTTTTGACAACCCAAATAAATCATCTTACCATATGCTTCTAATGTTTACAACTATTTGCTGACATCTGTTTTAGTGGATGATTGACCTTGTTGACCCTTCGGTATTGCTCATCTTTGATGCTTTATTGTTCACTGGTGATTTTAATAAAAATAGTTTTATTTGCTTTTTCTACTTGAATTATTTGTATTTCACTGAATATCACCAGGGATTCGTCCAAACAGGGGAACAGTGGCACAGCGCCCTCATACCCCAGGCTTACACCCTCTTACAGAACCTGGACCAGTCAGTAGATTATTATCAGTTATAACAAATATAAAGTGTTACCAATGGTAACCAAGGTGTGCTCCCACTTAAAATATTTTTTTCTAGAAAAACCCCTGATTACTATTTGTAAATTGAATACTAGAGCAAATAAGTGACACTGTTCGGCGTGACTTGATAAAAAGTACTCTCAGCAATATTGGTGCGAATTTTTATATTTTCAACGTTCAGTGGTGAGGATCCAAATTCTCTTTGTGTCATTGGCAAAAATATAAATTCTCCCCAAAATTTTCACTAAGAAATAACTACACTATATTCCATGAATTATTGCTATAAATTATATTAATTTAATATTATTGAAAGTTCACATGTTTGTGATATGAAGCCGGTTATATTTGGGATGTCTTTTCAAATTCTCCAACTCTCAACTTCTCTACATGCAGGAATTTATCATTTTTCTGTCTAGTGTTTTTTTATGGATTGTGAAAAGATATCTGTTTGAAGATGGCTTCAAAAATGAGTGCATCTCCTCTATCTTTTATGAATTAGCCAGGATGTTCTAATTGTGTTGTCAGTGTGCTGAAAGATACAATGATGTTATGAAAGATTTTATGATTATTTATTTCATAGTTTAGAGGTTGTATTTTACATGGGTAGCCACACTGCCCGAACACCTCTCTGTCTGTTTAGTATGTGATTGGGTGTTCATGCTTGACCTTTAAAGTAAGAATGTGACTGCATGCATATACATGCCTGATTTTAACCCTGCCCAGTAATGATAATGGAGATGGCAAGTAGGTAAAATGTCTGTTGTTGTTGTTATTAACTTTTATTTTGTGTTCTTTATCATCATAGACTGATCTGAGTACAGCTACACAAAACTTTTCTAGAAAGCTGCTAGATTTTGAAAACCAGGTAATCTCACCCACATGTGTCTTACATTTCTAAGTTAATACATTATTTTCCAATTCATTACCACTATTGGTGGAAGCTTCCAGCATGCGATGTGTTCAACAGATAGGATATCAGTCCGAAAATGGGGACTTATGGATTGACCTCTGATTGACTTCACACATACATAATATTATACATATGCACATCAATTTGTTTCCCAGTCTGATATAAGATGGCTGAATGGCGGACATTTTTGTGCAGAAAAATCGAAATCAAGCATTTCTGGCATGCCGAAACCAGATCTTGATTGTTAACATATGAATTTTGTTCAAACGTACACTGGACATTGTTGAACCTTGATGCATATCGATTTGCTCTTCAGATCAGATTAAAAATGTCCAACAGGCAGCCATTTTGTTTTAATGAATTCATCCTTATATCATATCTATATTAACATCCTGATTTTGATTGTTTATTAGAAATTTCCTCTTGGTACAGATGATACTGTTTTAGCTTCAACTATGAAACAGTTTGCTACTATTATTGATGAGGTGAGTGTTAATCCATGCATCTTTCATTTTTTATGACATGATGTAAACATGTCTACCTCATGTCTTTTTTAAATTTTCTAGTCGTACCTTAAAGATTATAAAAAGTCATAGTTTGCAAAAAGTCACAATTGCAAGATTCACTGAATAAATTTATACCAGTTAATGCTAATTACTAAATGTTATCATAATTTATAATTGTGAATATGTTTTCTCATTGAAAGCATGATAGGCTTTGTAATAATTTATATCAGAAGACAACCTGTAAGATGTTCTGACCTCTAACATCATATAAATGTATTTAATATTAAAGATAATAACATTCTGGCAATTGCTTGCTGATCCTCTAAACTTATGTTTATAGACACATCTATTTCAGTAGGCATTTTAGCTCTGACAGTGGATGACATAACAATTGTAAAAGTTTTTTTCTCAGTTTTTAAAGTGTCGCAGTCCTCAGTCTGTTTCATGTTGTATATAACATGCATTGTTTTGATGAATAAAGTGTCTAGGAATTTGACCAGTTTTGGTGAATATATTGTTAAAATATTATTAATGTCATAAATTGAGTGAAACCCCATTGTTATGAGTCAATGTTGTCTATTATTAGATTAGCTCGTGGCAAGCAGTGCTGTCAACTCAATTGTCAGATAGTATGGTGATGCCGCTGTCTAAATTCATCAATACAGATATGGCAGAAATCGACAACATGAACAGAATGTTTTGTACGGCAAGCAATGGTAAGAGAAAGAATTGTAGGTAGAAATATATTGCAAAATGATTGTATCATTTATACATGTACTTTATTTGATAATTTTGCTTTAGATCACCTTTAATATGGTAACAATATTCTGACCAAATAATCTACTTTGTATTAGTATCAAGGATTTATAAGAACGAGGATATGTAAGTCTGATATCCATGTATGGTGATATGTGATATATCTAGGATTTATTAGATAAGGGTATGTAAGTCTGATATCCATGTATGGTGATATGTGATATATCTAGGATTTATTAGATAAGGGTATGTAATCTTTGATATCCAGTGTATGGTGATGTGATATATCTAAGGATTTATTAGATAAGGGTATGTAA